TTATATATTAAAAATTTTAAATTTAAAAATTTAATTATTAAAATTTAATATAAAATATTAATTATTAAACAAAATAAATTTATGTAAATTTATTATTAGAATAAATGCATCTGTTGGATAATGAGTGAATAGATGAATGGTAAAATCTGAAGCAACCAAAATAAGTAGAGTTGTTAGAGTGGCAAAGATGGTGAAGATTGGAAAGCTTTGAATTTAAAGTTTATTGGCAGAAGCAGAGTAGAAAGTGGGTTTACTACAACACACATGGAAACAGAATGAAAAGAGGGTTTGTATTCTCTTGGCGGGCGTTTCATGTGTTCCCTATCTAGTCTCTTGTTGGGCCTGGAGTGCAGTGTGTTTCTGGGCCTGGCGAGGACGGAGAAAAGTGGCTAACCAAGCGAAGGAAGAGAGCGAGGTGATGCCCAAGGCCCCAGAAGTGAGGAAGCCGGCGACAGCCACAGGCACAGCAATGAGGAGCAGCGCCGGGACCAACACGGGGCTGAAGATGACAAAGAGTGGGGTGACGAGGGCGAGCCCGACGATGGTGGTCGTCAGGGTGAGGCTGCCCAGGGTGAGGAGGGTGGCTCCCAAAGGGACGAGGGCTGAGACAAGCACAACATTTGAAGAAGAAGCCATGGGAATTGAAACTTGAAAGTGTATGTGTGTGTGCATGTGATGTGGGGTTTGATGGAGCGGATATAAAGGAGGAAAGAGAGAGGACACGTTGCATGGCAGAGGTAGATGTCGTTTCATAGTGGAGAAAGGTGTTAGCGTTACAGGTTACACTCACACTCATACCTTCTTTCCTTCTTCTTCTCTGCGTCAAAAAGCTATATGCATTATGTTAGCTTCGTGAATTGAACCCCGTCCTCATCCATTTCCAAGAGGTGGACAAGTCACCGTCCATCCATATCTATTCAAAGGCTTATGGTAAATGAGGTTATATTATACCCTCCTACCATCTATCCAACTTTCTTTCCTTCTTTTTTAGCCCTTCCATTGTTAACTCAATATAATGTTTTGATTTCTTAAAAAAAAAAACCAGTAAAACAGCTCAAACGTATTTATTCTGAATTTGATTCTACAAAATAATTATGAAACATACCAAGACAAACATAAAATAAAAATGAAAAACATTTGTTGTTCAATAAAATAAAGGCATACCTTTTTGACCGTACTCACATAATATCATTCAATGAAATGTCATCGATGTTGTGCATTTTTTTTTTTATATAAACAAATATAGTAATTAATGTGTTATGTTAAAAGAATTCGAATACATTTCTTTATTATTATTGAAGTCCTATGTCCCTCCTCTCAAACCAGTCAATTGCATTCAGAGGTGGATCAAAGCAGTTCAAGTTTACTTTTGCATCAATTTCCTCTTTTTGACATAGTTTTAATAAGGAGTAACATAAACCTCTAACACAAAATCAAACATGAACATTAATGAAGGGCAACCAACTTACTTAATTGGATTAGAAATCAAACTTAATTCAGCTTTTTTCACCACAAAAGTAATTTATTTTATTGTTCATGTGCTATTAATGTAAAATATTTTTTATACTTAGCATAAAATTTTTGATTGATATGATTTTTAAAGTAGTTATTGTAAAAATTACATCTATTTACTAAAAGAAAATTATTATATAGAAAAAAAAATCACATACCATTTTGTTTGATGTAACCTTTCCCTTCATTTGTGTGTGCATGTGCAATTTGATTTATTTATTTAAGTAATAAGTTTTTACTTTTTCATGGGGTATACCACTATGACATAGTTAAAAATTTTTTTTTTTTTAACAGTACCGAACATAATAAAAATATAATTGGAATGGCTTTAGATCAGTTTTATTCTTTAATTATCACAAATGACTCGCAGTTATCATAAATTAATTAAGTCTCAATTTATTTATAAATCGCGTTTGGTCCATAAATTTTCATCTAGCTAGCTTACCCTTAAATTTTTAAACTTCAGAATATATTCAGGATTTGGATAGATATTATTTTCTCAGGGCGTACACACTTCTAAAATTATTAATTGTTTCAAATAAACTAATTCAAATTAACTAATTGGCACTAACTTTAAATGTTTGGCCCTTTTAATATTTAACTTTGCTTTTAGTTTTTGGGTGTGTATATTTAAAATTTTGTTTTCTGCTTTTAATTAATTTTTATTTACTGACTTTAAGTAAACTAGGCCAATTTTTTTTATTTAAGTTTTATTTTTATATAATCATTTTTTAAAGCAATATTTTTAATTAATTTTAATAATTAAAGAATTTTAACATCTCATACAATACAATGACAATTCAGTCGATCACTGATTCACAACTTAGTTTCAAATTAAATCTAAAAAATTTAATTTTTAAAAAATGATAATGATAATAATTATAAGTGTTATTTGTAATATTTTACAAAACATATATTGCAAGTATTGAAAAAAAAATTTAATATAGTTTAACACTTCTAATGGAACACTAATTAATTTTATCATTATTATTTTAGTAATTTTAAATTAGAGAAAAAAAATATGAACACTAATATAATTAAAATTAATACAACATTTCTTTCAAAATTTTATTTATTAAATTCAAATATATATATTTTTAGAATGATTTCATATTTTAAAAGTTTTCAAATAAGATGTAAATAAAATAAATTAAATTAATTTTATATTTACAAAAAATAATTAAAATTATAAAATATCTCTATAGAAAAACCATAAGAATTAGTTTTTAGTGAGTGTTCATACTTCTTAAGATCTTATCATTATCATTTTTGTTACTATTTTGATATAAATTATACTATTTTATGAAATTTAATCTTTATATTTAATTTAATATTATTTTTATCAAAATTTAAAGTATATCAATGCAATATAGTTTTTAATTTTTTAAATTAATAATTTTAAAATATATCTACATATATTTTAAATAATTGCATAATCTTATATATTAAAAAATTGATTATAAATAATATAATAAAATATATACAACCATTTAAATTAAGATGAATTATTTTAAAAAAATATAAAAACAAATTAAGAATTTAGCCAAAACATAAGATAATAAACTTAATGGCTTTGCGTTCGTCACGGTCCTATTAGCATAACTTTTGAAGCAAAAGAAATATTGGATAACCCGACATGTTCTATTATTTTATGTGATTCATTCTTCACACCATCAAAAGTAATCCATGGTAAAATTAAGATTGTTTCACACCTGCAAAACAAACCAAATTAAAGAGAGCGAATGAAGATGCACGCTTGAGTACCAAACTTTCACATGTGATCTAATTATTATGAACCAACAGAAAATGAGTTGAAATACCTTGACAGCTGTTTCCAGGGAGAATGGGATTTCCAAAAAAATGAGCAACATTTTTTTTGGTAAATAAAGGGGCTTAAAGCCCAATTACAAACAACTCAAGGATGAGTTGATTGGTTTGTCTGCTTCTAAATAACTAAGAAGGAAATCAGGAGGGGAATTAAAAAGAAGAAAGTCTTCATCCATGGGTCCTTTATATCTAGCTAAGCAATCAGCAGTCAAATTTGCTTCTCTGAAAATGTGAGAGATTGAAATGGACATCTCATGACCTAGGAGGGAGATAATCTGTTGTACCAAGTTGTAGCATGGGTGAGCTGTAGGACACCCCTCAAGTATTAGCTTTACCGCCGTAGAAGAATCTGTTTCCAGCAAAGCTCTTCTGTTAATACCTTTATACTGAAGGAGTCGAAGGCCATGCCAAATGGCCTAGAGTTCAGATTGGATTATGGAACATCTACCCAATTGACATGAGTATGCTACCACGAAGTTGCCGTTCGCGTCTCGAATGACCCCTCCACAAGAGGCCGCCCCTGATCTAGAGATTGAGCCGTCACAATTAATTTTAACTGAGCCCTTAGGAGGGAAACTCCATTGCTGCGCAATTGTAAGATGCAAAGGAGACTCTAGGATGTCTAAAGAAGAACAAGTAGCAGCTAACGAAACTACACGAGCCTTGATTACCGCTACCACCTGATTAACAGAGGAGTTAGCATTCTGAAATAGGAATTGATTTCTTCTATGCCACAGGTTATCAAGGGCTACTGCAAACAAGGTATTCCAGTCTTCCCACATGGACCCAGATTTCAATAAATTACGTAATAACCAAGCAAGAAGATTTGCAGTGAAGAATTGGACGTCCTCACGTTGCCCAAGCAGCTGCTTCCATACTGCTCCAGCAAACGGGCAATCCCGTAAAACATGTAGTGTGTTCTCAATGCTTGTGGTGCAAATGTCACAAGAGGAGCTATTATTCAATCCCAACTTCATTCTAACCTCATTCGTTAGCAGACTATTATGGGCTATTTTTCATAGAAGAGTTCGAATTCGCTCAGGACCTTTCCAATGCCAAATTACTTTGAAAATAGGATGAGAAGTAGGGGCTTGCATCGAACCAATTATCTCATATGCTGATTTAATCGTGAAGAGACCGTCATTAGTAAGGTTCCAACAAGCACGATCGTTACCGTTAGCTATACAAGGAGGATCCAATCTTCTAATAAGGTTGACGATCTCACCGGGAAGATAACTCTGGATACGGCCCAAATCCCATTCACCTTGTATATTCACATAATCTCTAACTGCTTTTGATAATTCCTCAGCTGGAACAAAGGACAAAGCTGCCCGAATTAATGCTTCCAACCCCGGTACCCATCTATCAAACCAGAATTTTATAAATGCACCATCACCTACAATCCATCGAATATGCATCTTCACAAGGTTCCATGCCTCGCATATTCCGCGCCACAAATTGGATATCTTTTGCTTTTTTTCAATTCTTGGTAGAATACCATCTAAACATCCGTATTTGGATGACAGAACTTGTACCCATAATTTGTCTTTCTCTGTGATCATACTCCAGCAGTTTTTCATCATGAAGGCCATATTCATATCTCGCATATTACGAATACCCAGGCCACCCTGATTTTTGGGTTGGCAAATTACCGACCAGCTTACCGTATGCACCTTCTTGTTATGACTGGTATCGCCCCACAGGAATTGTCTGTTCTTCTTATCAATGTCATCACATATATTACGAGGAAGCCATACTGTTTGCATGGTATAGGAAGGGAGAGCAGTGAGAAAAGATTTAGTTAATGTTAACCTTCCCGCAAAGGATAAACTCTTAGCTTTCCAATTATTAAGTCTTTGCGTTACCTTCTCAATGATGCCACTATACGTTGCTCGATTCACTCTTGAATGGTGTAAGGGGATACCCAAATATTTCCCAAGGTTTTCTGCTTGTTGGAAGCTGAATGACGAGCTAATTTCATTTATAACATTCCAATTCACATTTTTGGAGAAAAATATCCTTGTTTTCTCTTGGCTAATCTTTTGACCTGAGCTGGTACAAAATAGATTCAAACAGGCTTGGATAATTTCAACTTGATCTAACCTAGCCTCCGCAAACAAAATTAAGTCATCCGCAAAAGCCAAGTGAGATAGTTCAGGCCCACTTCGAGATAAACGAATGGGTTTCCACAGCTTTTGAGTAACAGAAATGTTGATTAGATGAAATAATCTCTCCATACATAGTACAAACAAGTACGGAGAAATCGGATCACCCTGTCTTATTCCACGTGACGGAGAAAAAGACTCCAACATCTCTCCATTCCAGAGCATTCGGAATTTAGCTGTTGATATACAATTCCAAATGAGCTCGATAATTTTAAGTGGGAAACCAATATCCTCCAGTGTCTCCTTGATAAAATTCCAATTTAATCTATCATATGCCTTCTCCAAGTCTATTTTGATAGCCATCCAACCAACACTCCCAGATTTGGACCTCATGGAGTGGATTACCTCTTGTGCTATGATAATGTTATCCTTGCTATTTCTACCGAGAACAAAGCTACACTGATTTGGATGAACCAGTTTACCCATGATGTTGTTAATCCGACGGGCTAACAGTTTCGTGATAATTTTGTAAGAGACATTACACAAACCAATAGGACGCATGTGTTTAAGCTGGGTGATATTCTCCATTTTAGGAACTAACGTAATAAATGTCTCGTTAATCTCAGCAACTTTCTCAGGTTGGGCCACGATATCACGAATCATGTTACAGACCTCCTGCCCTATATAATTCCATTGAGACTGGTAGAAAATGGCTTGAAGCCCATCTGGACCAGGAGCTTTAAAACCATTCATACTTTTAATCGTTGCAAAGATTTCTTCGTTATTCATATCCTTCCTAATCTCCTCAAATTCAGAGTTTGAGAGAGAAGGAAACATATTGGATAGGCATAAAGGGATGTACCCTCAAGGATCATGAAACAGTTCTTTATAAAACCCAGTAACAAAGGACTCCAATTCTGGTTGCTCAGTTATCCATTCACCTTCATCATTAATAATTTTTGTAATTCTATTTTTCCTCCGGCGCACAATTGTCGACCCATGAAAAAATCGAGTATTGCGGTCCCCCATTGTCAGCCACTTGCAGCGAGATTTTTGAAACCATATGACCTCTTCACGATGCAATACCATCTCCAACTCCTGCCATAACTTCGTTTGTAAATTTTCTAAGAATTTGTTTGGACCAGAGTACAGTGTGCGAGAAATACCATGCAAGCGACGAAGTAATTTTCTCTTTTGGAAAAAGACATTACCAAACACTGACCTGTTCCAATCCAAACAAGCTTTCTGAATGTGTTGAACTCTATCATTCCAACTCCCATTTATTCTCCATGACTGTTTAACCACTTCTTTAAAATTAACGTGGGTTAACCATGCAGCCTCAAAACGAAAAGGCCTCCTGGTGCTATTTAAAGTTCTTTGATTCTTTAGTTTCAAAAGGACCGGAACATGGTCCAACTTCAAAGGGTTGAGGTGAGTGACTTCTGCTTCAGGAAAATCCATTCTCCACTCATAGGAAGCTAGCACTCTATCTAATCTTTCAAACAGAGAGCCTCTCCGCCAAGTATACGGAGAGCCTTGGAACCCAATATCAATTAAATTATTCTGCTGAACAAAATCACAAAAGGCTTTATCTCCTCTGTGACTCCTTGATCCAGAGCTATTACTTCTTTCAAAATTTTTAAGGACTGCGTTGAAATCTCCCATAAGTGCCCATGGTCGATCAATCCCTGAAGCTAAACTGCACAACTCCCTCCATAGGTCAATACAAAATTGTGGATGAGGGCTAGCATATACGAAGGTACAGAACCAGTGGGAATCACCACATCTAACCTTGATATGTATAAATTGAGACGATTGAGTCACAATAGCTAGATCCCATTTCTTGGAGTCCCATAAATACCAAATACCACCTGCTTGCCCATGAGCATCCACAATATGAACACCATCCAGCTTTATACGACTAGCAACTTGTTTGGCCCTCCTGCCATTGATGTGAGTTTCGAGTAAACAAAGCACACCCACGTCATACTCCTTTATGACATCATTCATCAATGAAGAAAACCCTTTTGAGCCTGCTCCCCTACAATTCCATGACATCCAATTCATTGAGAATTATTATTGGGGTTGGGCACTGAATCCCGAGCAGTATCTAATTGCAAATCTGCAACCATTCCTTTAGAGGAAGCCTCAACGTTGATATCTTGAATTCTCCCATCATTAAAATGATTTCGTAATGCTTTCGCAAAGGCTAGTGTAGCTTCGTCTGGACCAGCAACATGCGTAAATGCACTACTCAAGTCTAAACTAGAGTTCTTATTATAGGTGGTCGAAGTTATTTCTCTTAGCCCTTGTAGAACTTTCTTTGTGTTCTCCTGTTGGTCCATCCTTGGGGAAGAATAATGATGGTGTGTTGATGAAGAGGGCTTTAATTACAGGGGTAATTTCCTGGTGAACAGGCATACTAGGCATATTGGAATGGTGATGTATCATCACATGTTTCTTTTTATGCCCAGAGAGGTTCTGAGTGGAAGTGTTGCCACGTTGACGTTGAGGATTCTTTCCTCCTTCTTGATTGCGAATCTTATCCTGGAACGAAACTTTTTGCATGGGCCCACCATTATGCTTATCCTGCACATGCAGATTCTCTACTACGTGATTGTTCTGGGAAGAGGTCATATCTGTACCACCTTGTGAGATATCCGCTCTTGCTTTAGAAGCAAGATTTTTTCCTGATTTTCTTCCATGTTTCACCAGCATCCATGGTCCGTAAAGCTCTTCCGATTTTGGGCCAGAGTCGGTAGTTACCAGCGTACCTTTCGCAACTGGAGCTGCTCGAGCCTGTTTCAGTACCCATAGTTGTGTTAGAGGGAAGATATACGGATTCTTCCATTGTAGGGGCTTTGTGGAGGTCGTTATTCTCCCCCATTATGCCCAACGTCCATCTCCATGTCCACTGTTCCTGTTGTCTTCATTGTATTCCCAGCACATTGATTTTGTCGATGTCCATACTTCCCACATGAAAAACATATTGAGTGAAGTCCCTCATATTCCAGTTTTAAAACATGACCCATGATGTCAATCTTTGACACCAGCTTCTTATTTAGATTAATCTCCACGCAAATTCGTGCAAACTTGCCTCGTGAGTGAATGGAGGTTAGCTTATCAATTTTGAGCATGGTTCCCAATTTGTTGCCTACCCTCCACAAGAAACGGTCATGATACAATTCGATAGGCAAACCGGGGATACGAATCCAAGCAGCAATCTTTCTCACTTTAGTTGCAGTGACAGTGAAGAAAGGCCTCCATCTCTGAACAACAATATAATGATCAGCAATTTTCCAAGGTCCCTCATAGAGCGCATGTCTATAATCCTCCTCCTCCTTAAATTGCACCAGAAAGTAATCGTTGGGCATATCAATGATTCGTACTGCACCATTCTTAGCCCAATCACGATGAATCTTGTGTTCTAAAGCTTTGAAAGAGACATGCCTGCCCAAAACATTGATAACCAACGCATTCTTCCAAGGGGCACACCATTCCTCAAACTCCTCTTGGGAGATTTGGATCTTTGGACATGGGTCAAGATCCCCTTCCATGTCTTCAATAGAATCTTCTTCCTCCAAGAATTTATCTTCATAGTCTTCCATCTCTTTTAGAAGGTGGGTATAGTCAGCAAAGCATTTGTTTCCATCCGAAGAGAGTAGACTCTCAGCATATGATTTTTTGAGTCCAGCATCCTGCATCTTAACACCATGGTTGTCCTCCATTGTAGTATCGTTTGCATCTCCATCCTGTTTCGTCTTGACCTTTTTTGTGCTCCGTTGATTGTCTCTATCAATATCACCCTCCATTCGAGTGAGAGAAGCGCAAACCCTAGCAGATCGTCTTAAAAAAAAATAAAAAAATGAGCAACATAAAACCCCTTGTTCATATCAAGCAAATGCTCAATTTTCTTAGTAAATTGCACACACACACACACAAAATGTCCATGTTCTTGACTACGTTACAGCACTCTTGCGATGGATCCGTCTTTGGCCCCAAATTTTTATATAAGAACCACATTGAGTTATCGGACGTTGCATTTCATTTTGGCAACCAACAACATTGTTTATGCCACAAAAAGCATCAATATGCCTGCCAAGGCCAAAATCACGAGCCTGCTTTTGATTACCCTTGTCATTTTTTTAATAAATATATTATATAGATCATGAATTGGGTGTGCTTTATCTACTTACTTTAAAAGTGAGTTTATCTAAATTTATTTCATTCAGTAACTTATGTTTCTATATCAAATTTTAACAATCCTTTTATTGAATTAAAATTTATTAATGCATAGTCAAGTCTAGAATTTTTTTAAAAAACTGAAAACTATTTAATAATATGTTTTATTAATTCAAATCAACGTAAAATGTTTTTATAATTTATTCGTCAATTATAATTAATGAAACGAAATATTGAATAGTTTTCAAATTTTTTAAAAATTTGCAAACTTTATATATATATATATTAATAATTTTTAATTTAACAATTGAATCATTAAAATTTAATGTAAAATATGAATTATTAAGTGAAATAAATTTAAATAGACTTACTCTTAGAATAAGTAAGTCTTTCCACACACACGCATACACATATATGATCAAATTTGTTGACACCATGATTGACACTTTCAATAATTCTTATATAGGATGTAGATTCAATTAATCCAAGTGTTGAAACTGATAATATTATTAATTCGATCAAGTGTACAAAGTTTCATATAATTTTAAAATTATTTAGTAATTCAGCATATAACTTTAGTTTAACGTATAAAATGATATTCAAAATACATATAAGTATGTGTTATTAAATAATATATCTAGAAGAATTCAAATCATGTAAAATTTGATATACACGATTATGAATGTAATATCATTAAATATAACAATTAGATCAATCAATTGAATTTTCATCATGT